TATCCTTGCTATGTCTGTAAAGACTCCATATCACCCAAATACAGTCATATTGGGGGTTAGGACTTCCACTAGAATTAAGTAGGGTGGACACTGTTCAACCCATGGGACTCATGATATCATTCATCCTCTTAGCCATATTCAACTTATTTTAGTTCTGTGCCTTTGTTGTTCTTATACTCGATCATAGTAACAATAATCACATCTACCATTAACTAGATTATCGCCTGCTGTCAACATGGCCCTGCATGGAGGGTACAGTTCTACTGATGTCACAGCCAAGGATACCTAGACCCATGGGAATCCAGGGAGGCCACACGGGCAGTGAGCCTCAACCCCAGTGCCCACATGTGGAGCTCTCAGCCACAACCGATGCTTCCTTCAGCCCTGCTTACGCCGTGCCAAGCATCTAAGTGTCCCCTGCATCTTAACGTGGCTGTTGGTGATCACACTGTGGACATGGAGCAAGTCCTTGGCTGTCATTGTAGAAATGCCTTTTCCAGAAGCTTCTGAAGCAACCAGCTTTGCTCTTCCAAGGACCCTGCAATTGCTCCCACCGCACTCCTCTCCCAGCCCCATCTGCCTTCCTCACCTACAGACAGCGCTCCCTTGCCTCTTTGTCAGGCAGGCCTCCCTCCTCCATGCACTGGCTCATCCATCCTCTCTGTCCTCTGTCAGCGGGGCCCACCCTAACTGCTCTACTTAAAATCACAACCTCTTCATTCCACCTCCACATCCCACTTAGTGCTGCTTGACTTTACTTTCCCATAGTGGTTACTGCCTCCTAGGACAGGACATATTTGAGTTCATTGTTCAATTTCTCTTTCCCCCATAAGATTACAAGCTCTACAAAAGCAGAGACTTTTCATGGTAATGATACAAACATACAAAAATTAACAGTTCCTGTGTGAGCTTTGATGTAATTTTTTTTTCCTATAGCAAATGAGTGACCAGTCTGTTGGGGCAAAGGTATTCTGGGACTAAAGTTACCTCCTTGGAATACTATTAAGCTCTGAGTTTGAGGACAGTGTATTTTTCACTCGAGGTCATTGACCTTGAGATCATTATTCTCATGGTGTTTTTTTTGTTTGTTTAATACAGCACCTATTATCCTATTCTTGTCTGCATTTGATGGTTGTATTATTCATTTCAGATAGACATAACATCTTCATCATTAATCTTTAATTGTAACACTTGCATAGCTTTCCCCATGAAAAATGGTATACAAATTACACTCACATCTCACCTGCAGTAATTATCACAGGTCTGCCTAATGTGCAGGAAGCCCTTGCGTGGTAGGGGGCTCTCTCCAATGACAATGTGTTGATTTTCTAATTAACAAAGGTTAAATAGCAGTTTTGCTTGAAGACCTATAATTTAAACTTATGACACTTGTCACCAAGAGAGAGTTGTACAAAGCAATGAGTTTAACTCAAACAATTTTTGCTGTCATTAAAATCTTTCATGTAATATATAATAGCCATTTCCAGGGTCAATTTTTTTTCACAATCAACTAGATCAGGAAAAATACTTTCCAGCTCACTGGGCCATTTTAATAAACCAGGGGGCCACCTAAGAAAGAAAAGAGCTCAATTTATTCAGTCTTTATTTTATACAGAGACAAATAGGATTTCACCTACTGCTTTATAAATTAAGAAAGGGCAGTAAAAATTTTAAATTTAATTGGTAGAGCAAAAACTATTTTGACTATAATCCTAATTTATGGCAGTTAAATATAAAAAGACTTCACAATGAACACAGAAAAGGAAAGAAAACTTAGGAGAAACAGAATTATTTATAGAAAGACAGACAAGACACAAGCACAAAGGGAAACTATGTAAATCAAGGGCTAGGGCCAGTAGAATAGGAAGAAACTGAGACCCCATGACCACAGAACCACGTGCAACTGTCATTGCAAAATTCAAACATCTGAAAATTCGAACACACAGACTGACAAGATTCAGAACAAAGAATAATGTTCACAATACAGTTATCAAGCAATAAAAGATACACCTCCTCCTATTCCCCCAAAAATCAAAGATTGCAAAAAATGATTCAAAAATAAGAACAATGAAAATATAAAAATGATTCAACTCTTAGTATTTGAAGCAAAGCAAATTAAAATAGTAAACTTTTATGTTCACTCATTTGGATTAACAAATTCAAAAGGACGATACCCACTAATAGAACAAGTGTGGAAAAGATATTCATTTCATACCCAATTGGTAAAATTCTTCTTACGGGAAAATATATTTCAGTTGCCTTTGAAATATACACAACTCATACTCAGCAGTTACACTGAAAAGTGTGATCAATTCTAAGAGACCAATTTAAAAAAAAAAAACTGGACAATGAGCCAAGATATTTTACAAGGACCATATTAATATAATGTCATAGAAAGTGGAAATTTGCAAAAGCTTAAAACTTCATTGATACAGGGCTGGGGAGATGGCTCAGTGGAATAAGTGCTTCCCTGGCAAGCACAAGGACCTGAGTTCAATCCCCAGTTCCACCAAAAAAACTTCATTGATACGGTGGCCAGGGTTCAGTCTCCAGGGTGCCATGCTGCCCCTGCCCCCGGGGCATGCTGAGAAGGTGATTGAGACTAGGTGTCTGGTGTGTGCCTGTAATCCCAGCGCTTGAGAAGCTGAAAACAGGAGACTCACTATGAGTCTGATCTACGTAGTGAGACCCTGCAGACACTGTAGACCCTGACCTAAATACAAAAAAAAAACACTCCATTGATAATGGAATGGCAAGACAAATGGTAGCACTTCCAAACAGAGATGTTGTACAGATATTAAATAAGATATGCTGGTTGTACATGTATTGTTTGGTTAATGTTTCATGATTCACTAAGTACAAAAAGCAATTCTGAGAACAATGTGTGTGTTATCCTATTATCCTATTTCTTCCCTTAAGATTTTTATGCACATGTGTATTCATAGATAACAGTAGAAAAGGTTGTTCCCTAAAAATGAATGTACTTGTGTCTGAGTCCCATTACAGTTCTCTTCTGACTTTGCATAGTAGTATATTTATGGTTTCCACAATGAAAAACTCTTACTTTGACAATCAGGCAAAAGAAAAAGAAAATATCTAACATCAATTATTCACAAATTTCAGCACATTTGGATAGGATATAATTGTCTTAATTGACTAGTGATGGAAATTCAAATAGCTAGGCATTTATGTAATGAAAAACCCTCTGGAAAACCCTTATTGGAAGAACAAAAAACATACTGGCTAAAATGATAGAAGCCAAAATGAAATTCTAACACACAAAGAGTGACTAATGGATTGAAATTCTTCCAATCAGGCAAAGGCCCCAAGTCTCTTCAGCACAGAGGTGCAAAGCTGGGCTGACAGGCAGATGGCAGAGTGGGAAACCCTTCAAAGTAGTTGTTTTCAGTAGCTTCTTTTGCCATCTTGTAGCTCAGAGCTTTGCTCCAAAAGGGGATTGGGCTCCTTTCAATTAATCCTCTATTCAAACATCTTATTTAAAAAATGCTGCCTAGAGGATGATTATTCAAGTCAGTGTCCCACCCAATGAAAGAACTGCAAAGTTTAAGTTTTAAAAAACATTTGCCATTTCACTGATGAGGATTTGCGGGCCTAAGGAGATGCTGAGCCATGCCTGTCACTAAAGCATTTGATCTGCCAGTCCTATCTAATGAGCCTAGAAGGTTGTACACTTTTGATTAAGTGATCAAAACCAATCCCAGCCAAAATATCTTACCTGAATTTTAACTCAACTGACTGCCTCATTTTTACATGCATATAAATCCATACCTCCAAGAAATACGCATATTGGGCCCCTGGACCAAACTCATCTCTGTATGAGGTGATCATCATTTGTCACTTAAAACCACAGGCTCGGGAATAAGATCTGATATAATTAGCTGATTGGGAACCCTGAGCCCCTGAGTAAATGATTAACTTCTATAAGTCTCAGTTTGCTTATCTGTGTGATAGATATAATACGAAATGTACTTACACTGGCAGGCTACTGTGAAGATCAGAAACATAACACATATAACGTGCCCAATACTGTACCTAGTAATGGCTGCTAATAAAAGAGGAACAGGTTTTATTTCTATTAACAAAACCTTTTATCTAAATCCTCATCAGATTTTTCTGCCAGCAATTTTACTTACTCTTCATTTTGAATGTGTTTCCAGAAAAATTGTTAATCTAAGATAGACACACATTTAAAAAAAAAAAATCTGAGCTTCTCTTCTTATGTCAGCTACTTTTAAAAAACCACAGCAATGATATTGTAGACCCAGTGACATCCGCCTCCAATGAATGCTTCCATGACCTACGATAGGACCATCTTAATACTTTAATGTTCATGGCCCTCAGGTGATGAGCGTGATGCTCTGCTCTATGTCTTGCAGTGACATGAAGACAAAAAACAATGAAGTCCAACTTGACCTAGTAGTAAATATGATGTGACTGACTTCACTGAAATAATTGATTTTGACTTCCTCCACCCTGAACCAGAAGTCCTGGGTACCCTTAATGGGAACTTTAAAGCAAAGCACTTCATGCATGACAAGGACCAAAACACACAACCACACTTCAAGTGGATTTAGGCCTCCCAACTAATTGACTCGTTAGTTATGCTAATATATTCATGTCTTTCTGCCTTGTTATATTCCTTTCAATAGATAAGCTATAGAACTGAATGTTATGGGATTAAAGAACAAAGAAGCTAAAGATTCTACAAACTTCTTTTCTATAGGAAACCAGGTTCTACCATTATTGTGTCTCTCCAAACATTTTATTTCTATAGCAAGTTTATTGCTTCTCAGAAAACAGCATCTTTTAATTAGGCTTTACAGCCTAAGGGAGAGGCTTCAATTACTTCTGTTTAGACAGGCCCAACTTGAAAGTGATAATACTAATGCACTTAGCAGCAGTTGTTCAAACCTGAGGAAAGAAAACAGCGGTGATCAAAGGCCATTCTACCTGACCTCCATGCCTTCTGTTATTCTCAGGTGGCGCTGGAGGCCAGCAGGGCTTCCTAGGCTGTATCCGCTCCTTAAGGATGAACGGGGTGACCCTGGACCTAGAGGAAAGGGCAAAAGTCACATCCGGCTTCAAGTCTGGGTGCTCAGGCCACTGCACGAGTTATGGAACCAACTGTGAAAATGGAGGCAAATGCATAGAAAAATACCACGGCTACTCCTGCGACTGCTCGAACACAGCCTATGATGGGACATTCTGCAACAAAGGTAAGGCCAAATCTATTTCCAGATTGGTTTATAGACGTTCCTTAAACCCAAATCACCTACATAAAGACTTCTCACCCAGAAATAAGAATGTTTTACTCTGAAGATAAGGTGATGGGAATCCTCTCCTACCTCAGGGAGGATGTTTCCCAAATTATTCACTAGTCTCTGTTGTTTACTAAGAAGAAAGCAGTTATGTGTGGTACAGAATTTCCCCTCAATCCGGCACTTAGTGATACAGCATAAAGCAAGGAGCCTCATCACATCCTGAGAGTGATAAAGTTAGTGGCCTGGGAAAGGGGGCTCAGGCCACATTAGGATTTCCAGTAGATGGGTGGGTGGGTGGGTGGGTGGGTGGACAGACAGACGGATGGATAGATGGATGGATGGATGGACAGAGGGCTGGATGGATGGATGGATGGATGGATGGACAGATGGAAGGATGGATGGATGGATGGATGGATGGATGGATGCACGGACAGACGGATGGATGGATGGATGGACAGATGGATGGATGGATGAATTGCTGAAGTGAATCAGCCTGTGCAGCCCTGGGGTCTCCATGTTCTCCCACTTCCCACCAGTTGTTGGGCCCAAGATGTAGTTGCAAGAAAGTCCTTCTGGTCAACCATTGTCATTCTCATCATTGTCACTACTCTTACACAGGACGACTTCAGGAGAGATTTTTTTCACGCAACTAAAACTTAAGCATGCTGAAACCACACAGCCAGCCGGTCAGCCTAGAGAGTCTCGTATTGCTGGGTTTTCCAGTCTTGAATGAGCCCTTGAATCCCCAGCAAATCCCACAAATCCAATGAGCAGACTATCAGGGCCCAAAGCACACACATATTTGCATTTGGGATCTACCCTGGCGATCCCACATGACAGCAACAAATTCTTTCAGCTGGTCTGTGGCTTCCTCTCCCACACGTAAACAGCCAGGGTGAGGAGAGGAGCAGCTGGCTCTCGTCCTAAGCTGCACTAGCAATGCATGCAAATCACTCTTCGCTCACTAAACGAATGTATAGCATTTGGGTAAAGTTTTCAGTAAACAGTCGGTGTATCTCTTAATAAGAAGCTTTACATAAGTAGCCTATTCATACTCTCATGACTACATGGAGGGTTGTTTATGCTGGCATTATTCACACAAGATGCCACACAGAGAAGAAAGAATTGTTCCGCAGCATTCACTGTACATCCAGGCCACTGTCTGGCAGGGCTAGAATATGAGCATACAAATTAGATCAGACAGGGTTGAAGAACAAGCAAGAGACAACAACAAAGGTGCAAAGGAACACTGTTGCCGAATAGTACCATCGAACATTAACAGTGCTATTACAGTGCGTTTCTCTGCTCAGAACAGCGTGGCTCTGTGATTTTCCTGTGACTGTATATACAAAGGACCGGGTATTTGCAGAATGCATTAATTTTGCACTTGTAGAAATGACAGTCTTGCAATTACCATTCATTGTGCTTGATGCTAATTTAATGCAGTCAGTCCCTTGCCAAAGTAACGGCTGAATGCAATCAAGTAAGCACTAATGCCTGTGACAATCTACTGTGTAAGTAACCATTTAAAGGAAATCACGATCCCCTTATTTTTGGAGAGTTAGGTTAAATACAGCAGCTCACGCGGCACCTCTGGGGGTTAATAGGCAATATTCATGAGCACAAAGGCAGGGGGCTGAGCCTTTCAGTTTAGCCAATCAGAGATAAATGAAGCCTATGTGTTTCCTTTGACACCATTTCAAGGGGTTTACACAAAAGACATCTAAATAGTCTCTAAGTATCTGTTCAGTAGCAGGATGAATTTGCAATGGATTTCATTAGTCACTTTAACCAAAAAAATTAAAATTAAATGCTGTAAAATGCACTGGGAAAGTATCTGTAAGCACCCTTCTGAGCTAAGTGTCTCCTCATCTTGGGGAAATGACAGGAATGCACAGTAGAATGAACCCCACGGCACCCCAGGAGCCTCACTTGCATTAAGCAAGCTCCTCAGGCACCAGTGATGGGGTTGTCCTTTCAGGAGCTCCGCCTGGGGCTTCCTCAGCTTGGGGCCTCCCCATCCAGGGTCCTCATGCCTGAGAACAGCTCCTATGACCCCCACCAGGGAACTACTACAGGTGAGCGGCTCGGCTTCTAGAATGAGAGACCATACGCATCGGCCAACAAAGGAGCCCAACAGCGGCCTTCTCTGGCTTCCTTTGATAATGTAGATCTATGCTTACTGATGGAACCAGGCTGTCATACTGTGTCTCATGGAGTAGCATCTCATGTGAAAACTGTATGTAATTAAATTACCTTTGAAAATCTATGTCAGCACATTTAAGTAGAGCCCTTTTTTTTTTTTTTTTTTTTCATAAGCAGCCAAAACAATCATTCTTTAAATGACCCTTGCAGCAGCCAGGCTGTATGAAAATGAAAACGTTGAGACACTCACATCTCACTAGGCTCCATGAGAGGTTCGCAGTAGGACTGGCTGGTAATCCTACATGGCCTAAGGACACAGATCAGCGGGTCTCGCCCTGTATGGTACTAGCGAGGTGTGTGATAGGCAAATTGCAGGCCACATAATTTAACTTCTCTGTGCCTCTTCCTCCCCCACCCTTTTCCTTTCTCCTCTTCCTCTTTCTTCTCCCCCTTACCTTTGCATCGTCCTCCTGCCTCCCATCTACACATTCCTGTCTCTACCTCTATCCCTTGTATGCCTCCTCTACATTCCACACCTGCTTTCCTTATCTCCTGTCCTTTTGCTTGAGTATATGGTTGAATTTGTAAATCACATTAGCTTGTGCCACTGTTCAGTGACCTTCACTGACTTCAGTGACAGGACAGGGCTACATTCAAGCAGGTCCCTTGGGATGATTCTCTTTTGCTTTGTGCATGACATATATAGTCTATCTTCCACAAGACAAAAAAAAAAAAAGAGCCCTTCTGCCTAATGTCCTACCAAAAACTACTCCCAGAGTCCATTTCAAATAGATCCATAAAGATTTGATCACCAATTAAAGTTGTTACCTTTCCCAGGGCTGTTTGCATCTTAAACAGAAGTGCTGACTGGGAAACTTCTTGAGTCTTTGGAGACAGCACAAGGGCATCCCAGCGACCCTAAAACTAGACCAGCGACCCCATCACTTCATCTGCCTAAGGAGGCTGTGGAGTCCCCATCTTATCAGTATGTACGCCAACTAGCAGCCTTTTGACACAGTGGGACAGGTCTGTCCATTCTGTGGTGCAACTCCAAGGCGACCTGAGTTCTGGATACTTTCAGAAGCACAGACTAGCCCTGCCTAGAAGAAAGGTTTGGTTGCAGATCTGTCATCCATAACGTTCTTGGGTACCTCCATCAGAGACCAGATCAATTGTTACTTGCCTAGGCCAAAGGCAGTTTTCTCTGATTAAGCTGATTCATTCCTTTTTGGATAGTCAAGCCCCAAATATTCAATAATTTTATAACTATCAAAGTCATTTCTCACAGCAACCAGAAATTAGTGGCAATGAAGCACACTGTAACTGTGTCCTTTCTGTGTTGATAAAGCGAGAGGGAAAATAACCACCCTCCAGTGGCTAAAGCAATTTCTATATTTGATTTTTGTGATTGAATGTTATAAATTTGGATTGAACAGTGTCACCCCAAATCATATCCCCCTGAAACCTGCTCGGCTAATCGTGTTTGGATATGTAAGTAAGTTAAGGTGGAGTTAGACTGGATTGAAGTAGGCCCTAAATCCAATCAGAATGCCCTTATCAGAAGAAAAGAGAGACAGAGACACACAGAAAAGGAGGCCATGTATGGAAAGAGACAAAGATTGGACTGATGTGGAAAATTAAGGTCTGCCGAGAGCCAGGCAAGGCTCCGAGAACCAAGGGAGGATCCTTCGCTAACATCTTGGAAGATGCACAGCCCTGCCCACACCTCGGCTTCACACGTCCAGCCTCCATGACTGAGAGGATTCCTCTCTGTTGTTTTAAGTCACTCATGTTGTGGTACTTGTTAAGGAAGCCCTAGGAAAATAAGGCTAGTGATAACAAAAGTCAGCCATCTTCTTAACTCTTGTCCTTAACAACGGGAACAGCCCCCGCTTCCCGAGAACTTAGAGTGTGCTTGCTGGTGGTGTGCTGAGCTCTCTAATTAAGGTAGCATCGTCTGCTCCTCGCCACAAAGCCTAGTGAGACCTGGCTGTTACCGCTGTCTCCATCTTACAGAGAACTTAACATGGACACAAATGGGTGGAGTCACTTGCCCTAACACTCAGGTACTACTAAGTGGCCCGGCTTCCTTCTCCTTTAGTTTTATATCCTTTGAAACCATAGTATATAATCTTAAAGAGTTTTGAGTCTCACAGCTGAGTTTTAAAAATCTGATTACTGGATGCTTAATTTGTTCTAATAAAAACAGGACACAAAGCTGGGCAGGGTGGTGCACACTGTAATCCGAGCACTGGGGAGGCTGAGACAGGAGGATCACTGCCAGTTGGAGGCCAGTCTGAACTGCTTAGTGAGACTTTGTCTCAACTAAATAAATAATCTATTAATCACTTAAAAACACAACAACAAAGAAAGTCGCGCAGGACTTTGAGCGCGCAGTTGTGCACGAGGTCCCAGGCCGGTGCTTCCACGCGCGTGTGCAAGCCGAGATGTCGCACCCGTCACCACAAGCAAAGCCCTCCAACCCTAGTAATCCCCGAGTTTTCTTCGATGTGGACATCGGCGGGGAGCGAGTTGGTCGAATTGTTTTAGAATTGTTTGCAGATATTGTACCCAAAACTGCAGAAAATTTTCGGGCATTATGTACAGGAGAAAAGGGCATTGGATCCACGACGGGCAAGCCTCTTCATTTCAAAGGATGTCCTTTCCATCGAATTATTAAGAAGTTTATGATTCAGGGTGGAGATTTCTCAAATCAGAATGGAACAGGTGGAGAAAGTATTTATGGTGAAAAATTTGAAGATGAAAACTTTCATTATAAGCACGATCGCGAGGGCTTGTTGAGCATGGCAAACGCAGGCCGCAACACTAACGGCTCTCAGTTCTTCATCACGACGGTTCCAACCCCTCATCTGGATGGGAAGCATGTGGTGTTCGGGCAAGTAATCAAAGGAATAGGTGTGGCAAGGATTCTGGAAAACGTCGAAGTCAGTGGTGAAAAGCCTGCCAAATTGTGCGTCATTGCGGACTGTGGAGAGCTGAAAGCAGGTGATGACTGGGGAATATTCCCCAAGGATGGCTCTGGTGACAGCTATCCAGATTTCCCTGAAGACGCGGATGTGGATCTGAAGGACGTAGATAAAATTGTATTAATAACTGAAGACTTAAAAAACATTGGAAATACTTTTTTCAAGTCTCAGAACTGGGAAATGGCCATTAACAAATACACAAAGGTTTTAAGGTATGTGGACAGTGCCAGGGCCGTTCTGCAGGAGGCCGACGGGCCCCGGCTGCAGCCCGTGGCCTTGAGCTGTGTGCTCAACATCGGCGCGTGCAAGCTCAAGATGTCGGACTGGCAGGGAGCCGTGGCCAGGTGTGTGGAGGCTCTTGAAATAGACCCGTCAAATACCAAAGCACTGTATTGTCGCGCTCAAGGATGGCAAGGATTGAAAGAATATGATCAAGCATTGGCTGACCTTAAGAAAGCTCCAGAGATAGCACCAGAAGATAAAGCTATCCAGGCAGAACTGCTGAAAGTCAAGCAGAAGATCAAGGCACAGAAAGATAAAGAGAAGGCAGTGTACGCAAAGATGTTCGCCTAACGAGGATTCGCTTTTGCCTGGTATTATGCACAGGTTGTTTGAGGCAGTAAAAAAAAGGGGAGTTAAGTCTCTAGCTTTCAGTTCCTCATTGTTTACAGTTTAGAAATACCGAGTTTCCCTCTTAATAAAGTGTTACCAAATGCCAAAAAAAAAAAAAACAGTTTACAAGATCTGAGCAGGGATTTCTTGCCACATTTACACTTAAGATGTCTTTGTTCAGGCTGGCGAGATAGCTCAGCAGACAAAGTGCCTGCTTTGGCAAGCACAGGGCTGCACCAGCCCCACACCAGGGCATGCACACCTGTAATCCCAGCACTAAGGGAGGCTGAAAACAGGAAGATCATCAGGAGTCCGACCTGTGTAGTGTACCAAATATACAAATGGAAAAAAAAAAAAAAAAGGATGTCTTTGTTCAGCAAGCCACCAATTTAACGAACTCCACCAAGCATCATCTCAGCCTATTTCGTGATGCTACAAGAGACTGTCACAAGCAAAGACAAAATGTATCTGCTCTCTGCTCTGGAGGGTGGGGGAAGCCCGCGTTCAATGAACCTACCACAGCAAGTGCTGCTTTCATCCCACGGCAGGAAGCAGAAGGGCAAGGGAATCTGAGAGCAGAAGCCAAGCCCATCCTGTAGTGAGGATGAGAGCTAGCTAACCACTCCCCGTGGGACAACATTAATCCATGCAGGAAGGCAGAGCCCTCCAGATCTAACCACCTCTAAGGCCTCACACCTCCGCCCTGCTGCTCTAAGGATCAGGCTTCCAGCACAGGAATGCCTTCAAGCCACAACCAACACCTCAAAGCCTCAGATGTGTAGGTAGGTGAGTCTGGCCACAGTTTCAGTGGTTTATAGACAGGAAATCTGGAAGTCTGGAGAGCCTGATAGCAACACATAGCACTGCAGTGTTATTTAGGCAACCAAAAGCAGCTCTCTGTTATAATCTCTACACTGAGCCAAGTCTAGCAAGAACTTACCAAGAGGCATGAAAATATCTCTTCATTCACGTCTCTGCACCTTCTTCCGATTAAAAAAACATGTGCGTGTTCATTGTCAAAGCAGGACCACTGTTGGAAGAGACTTATCGCTAAACACTCGATTCATTTTCTAGCTCCAGGGAGTTCTGCATTCTTCTAAAGCATTCATTCCTGTGATATTTAGATAAAGGCCAAAATTTGGCGGGCAAATGTCACAAGAAGGCTCTGAAACCACAAGTGATGGGTGGAGGGTTCAGTCCTTGCAGAGAAGCCACCATTTATGGCTGTACTTGTGTATTCCACCTGCACTGGTGTCCCTCTGAGTTTTGTGACGTTGACCTGGGTTTTATGATCTGTATAATGAATGTGGCCAATTCAAGATCCTACCTAGAAAGTGGGTCATGGAATTACACACGAGTGTGAATCCGGCTTCCTCCCTTACCTGTTGTGTAGACTAGAGGAAACTGCTTAACATCTCTGAGACTCGCTTTCAGAAATATACAACACCCACTTCTTGGGCCGTGCTGGAGTTCACATGGAATGACGCTGAGAACAAATTTCCAAACAGAGAGCCTGGCACATGATAACTCCAGTGCAAATGTCATTTTTTATCCTCAGTACTTCCTCTTTTTCCATTTGTATTTTGTGTTCACTTTCAATCGTGGCCACAGCAATAGTATTTTGAAGGTGAAATGAAGTCCCCAAGCCCTAAGCCCTAATGAGCTGAGGAGTGCACAGAGATGTAGAATGTTTCATCAGGGACCACACCCACCCTGTGCCAGGGGTCACACGCAGTAGTTCAATTCCTGGTGCAAAGTGTTTGTCCCCTCCAAAAGCCAAGTTGGCTCATCCCAGCAATCCCAGCATTCTCTCTGTTTTTGGTGGATGGAAAACTTAGCCTCAAGGCAAGGTTAAACATGGAAGGGAGAGAAGATTTTTCCACCTAGTCTCCTCAAGCAATGGTTCATGTCAGATAGGAGGAGGTGGATTTACCAGAAGCAATTTCAAGACTTTACAAAGTCTTACTTCCCAGAGCTCCACATGTGGAAAGGAGACCACAGTAAGTCCACGCTGCACCTCTTCAGATGGAGTCAGAGAAAAGCATTTGGATAAAATGTTATAAGTAAGAAGGAAGGAAAACAAGAGAAATATTGGAGTCACATGCCTCCAGAGCTCATCCTTGAATAAAGCCAGCTAAGCCAATGACAAAAATGGCCTTTTTTTTTTTTTAAGTCCGCTTAGCTGGCCTTACTAATCCTAGCCCGGAAGACAGGTTCACACCAGCGGAGAGAGATAGTTTCACGGGCTCCTTTTTCCCTTTCAGTTGGAACGAGGGTTTGATAGATTTGGAAGAAGGCCCAAAGAACAAGAATAGAGGCCTTTTTCCTTTCCCTCCTAGAGTATTACTTAAGAAGGGAAACTATCCCTTTTCTATTAATGTGCTTTGTAAATCTTCAGACCTTTGGATGCAACCTAAAAGTATCATGGCAACCCATGGAGATAATCTGCTTAAGAGCTTTTTGAAAATGAATGAATAAAAGAAGTCCAAAAACTTATGGATAAAAGTCTTTCATGGATAAAAGAAAATATTTGATTTGATTCCAAAAAGTGAAAGCTGCAGAGATAGTTGACAAGTTGAAGTGACTTTATTATAGAATTTTACTGCGGTAAAATAACATTCTCACTTGCCTGTGGTTCTCTTTGGGGTTCCTGATTCAAGAAAACCTAGTTAATTAATGTTCCCAGAAGAAGGGATTTAAAACTGCAGTAGGTACAAGCAGGTCCTTTGTAAAACTTCCTAAGTGTAACAAAGGAGAAAGCTTTTGGATTTGGCTTTGATTGTAGAATAGACAACATTTTTTCAAGTTTGGGCTGTTTTTCAATCCCCACCAAGGTTTGGATACAGCATGTGATTTTTTTCAGTGTGTTGGGTGTTTATTTCCCATTCTTTGGCAATGACCAGAACTCTCAATATTGAACTTTACAGAAATAACCCTCCATCTTCTCTCATATATTAGCTCTGTGATTTCAACTGGCACTCTCTATTTCTTTGTGAAAGGCACCAATCTAATAAACTGTCCTAAGGTTTTGGCTTTAAATCGCTCCTGCTTTGGGCTCCCAGTGAGCGAGTCCCTTCACTCACATCCACGCTGCCCTTGAGCACTTTGTCCCTCCAAGGACCGTGACAACCAGCCTCATACACACAGTTTTTCTCTGCTGCTATTGGTTTGTGTGCTCACTGATTCCAACAGCAGCTATCAGGCTTCTTTCAAGCATTCCTGTGCTAGAGGAAATTTACTTTCTTAAGTCATCAAACCAAAAGCTTTTGAACTGACTTCCTCACTGTTTATGATAACACCATCTTATAGATCAACCTAGCTTTGAACCCATTCACATATCTGGCCTCAATCAATTTTATTTATTTATTTATTTATTTATTTATTTATTTATTTATTTTGTGTGTGTGTGTGTGTAGCCAGCTCAGCCCACCAGGGGGCGGGGCTGGCTGGCATGTGGTGCTGGGGGATCAAACCACGGTCCCTGTGCTTTGCTTAGCTTGTTCCAGGTAGGTGCTTTAGACCACTGAGCCATCTCACCAGCCCCTCAATCAATTTTAATGATGGCTGATTTACATAAATGGACATTATACATTTTTATCAGTTAACACCAAATTGTAAAGACATAGAAATTATTAGTCATGTGTTTTCTGAGCTGTCCTCCACTCAGCAATTTTAATGGAATATCTTCCTATTTCCATTAGGATTGCACAAAATCAAATGTTCTTGTCTTAGCCATATTCTCTAACTCTTTCAAGGGATAAGTTTACTAAATACAAGGTGGTTTCTAAAGTACTCAAGTTCTATAAAGCAAAGATTCTCAATTAAATTGAACTATTGGCAGTAAAAATTAATATAGCTATATTCTATTTGAATTAGGTAAAATCAAGTATCTTGATTATTAATAGTAATTTCATCTCTTAATACATGGTTGCCACAAGTTCAGTGGAATATGGGGATGCTTTCTGCAAGCCTGCCATGTGGAAGGGCACAAGGTGCCACTGAGGAAGTCCAAGATGAATGACAAGGCTTAGGGTGAGATAGAAAGGATAGATCTAATGCAATATGAAGGGAATTTAAGACAGAGCAGTATGTTTCCTGGGCATGGACAAATCATTCTGGCAGTTCTATCAGAAGGGTGGTTCCCAACATCCCATCAACAGGTACCTTGGCTGCCAGGAGTGGGCTACACCTAACCCAGGGGTAGGGTTTTGCCTACCAGGGAAGGCTCTTGAAGATGCATGTATCTGAAAAAATCTCAAGTCTAAAGATTTAAAAAGCTTTATGTACTGCATCCATGACAAAAAGAAAAACAATTGAAAGGTATACCACTCAGACCTAAAGACAATTTTTTTTTTTAATTTTAGGGAAGGGTCTACAGGGTGTTCAGCATCTCACTACTAGATTGGACTCATACTGATCCGCCTGTTTACAGCCTCCCAAGAGCTGGGATTACAGGCCCATGCCACCAAGCCCAGTCTCAATCACCATCTCAGCAGGCCCCAGGGGCGGGACTGGCACAGCAAGCCCGGGGATCAAACCCCTGTCCCCTGCGCCTGCTTGCAGGTGTTTAATTCGCTGAGCTCTTTGACCAGCTCAAGACAAAAAATTTTTAAGCATTCCAATATTTGAAAAAACTTGGCTCTGAAATAGCACAATTGAAATTTACAAGAAGCTTAATTTGCCTTTAATATGAGAAAACTGAGTTACTTTAGAAAATTAATAGTAGAAAAAATATTTTAGCATTTATATCACTTTACCTCTTATTCATCTTACTCTTCCCTAGTCAGTAATATTTTGGGAGGTCTTTTCTTCTTTAGTTTCTAACATGAAGACACAGGAATTTGTTCCACATTCCAAAATGTTATAGAAACAGTAAGTATACTTTCCTGAACTATACCCGCATTTCCTCCCTGTGTCTTCCCCAGCTTCTAAAGAATTTTGTGTGAACCTACCATACACCCTCTCTCTAAGCATTTCTACTCTAAAAAATACAAATTCAGAAGTTCAGACTAATAGCATAGAAAATCTTCTGAAAGAACTAATAACAGAAAGCTTCTCAAATCATGAAGGAAATGCAATCATCCCAGTACAGGATGCATTGAGAACCCC